TGGCCTCCAAGTCGCTCATGGACTCGCTGAACGAGATCTATGAGAGCCAATGGACGGGACACGACATGCTATACGTCCAGGCACAAAACCTCGATATGCTCTGGCAGGATTTCGCCCACAAGTTGGCCGACCAGGTTCTCGTGCCACTCAACACGTATCAGAGCCAGTTTCCGGAAATGCGGGTAAGAATGTTGTGATGTCGTAGTTGTTGTCGTCGTCGTCGACGTCGACAGCGGCGGCAACGGCGGCGGCAGCGGTGACGCTATTATTCACTTCCGCTAGGCTCCCAATATGAGCTCGCGAAACTCTGGCAGCTTTCCGGATTTACGCGTTGCCAATCCCATTCTCAAGCAGAAATGGACAGAAAATTTAATTAGATCCGGAGCTACTATTAAGGGGAGAACAGCTTTTTTTTTTATCGGGACGGGTATTTACCTAGTTATCGGTAAAAAATGGATGCCTCGGTTTAATTAAACGGAGCTAAAATGCTTGTTTACAACGACTTTTAGCATTTCTTTTTGGCTAAGAGCTGATCGAAACGATTTGAGAGGAAGATTTTACTAAATGTACTATTTATGGTATCCAGTTCAAATGTGCGGATACGTAATAAAAAACATGCATTTTAAATAACAAATTAGAAGTTTTTATTTTTTCTTTTTAACGTTGTGTTCAATTATTTGGATCGAATGACGTTTTTTGTTAAAAATGTTTTTTTATTTATACACATTCGTAAGACTAATATAAACGATTAAATCATAATAATGCATTTTCGCAATTTTTCTATTTTCTTAAAGTAAACTAAGCAAATCTAATGTAAATACAAAGAATTTACAATGACATTATTGAAAGGGGTGGTTTTTCTTGCAAATGTAACAATTTATCATTGAAATATAAATCCTACTCGTTCTATTAAAACTTAGTAAAACTTTATTGTGGAAAATTAAAAAAATATCCAACTTTACATCACGTAATTCCATTCGTTTCTTTTTAATTATTTATTATATATATATATATATATATAATACGTATATACACACTCAAATTGTCACATTTATCGAGTTTAATTTGAACAAATAATCTCCATTACTCAAACACGTAAATGGTCATACATCTCATAATCGTTAAACAAGCGGTCGATTCTTCTTTACGATGTGTAGAAAAAATGTTCTAATTTAATAGATATAAATTGTATTGAAATCAGCTGTTTCAATGCTCTTTATATTATAATTATTTTTAACGTCGCGCTCTTAAATTGATTATGCTTGAATTGAAATTACATTTTAATGTTAAGTGCATAGGTATTATTATGATCTAAGCTTCTATTTATGAAATAACATTTTTCAAGCTCTTTAAGCAAATGTGAAATACGCTTGGAATATGATCGGTACTCTATGTTCTATCAATTTCATTACTATTTACATTAATTATTTTTTTTTTCATGAATATTACGTATCAATTAAAATGCCTTCAAAGACTGACTTATTATAAATCTATAATCGATAATTCAATGAGTTTTCAAATTAATCATATTCAAACTATCGTACTTCATAGATTCGCTTTAGAGTAGTTAAAGCTCCTGGGGAGGGCGTTGGTTTGGTGTTGGGGGGGGGGGGGGGGGGTTTTAATTTCCCCCTTTTTTTGGGGGGGGGGGGGGGGGGGGGGGGGGGGGGGGGGGTTTTTTTTTGGGGGGGGGGGGGGGGGGGGGGTAATAATAATAAAATAAAAAAAAACAACAATACCTACGATCAAAAGAAATAAAGTCAGTCTGAGAGTATCAGTTGATCCAACGGAAAGGTCCGCGGTTCATTAACCCTGGCGTCCCTCCCCTTGACTTCTAAATCCATCATCGAGCAATTAATCAATCTTCGCTCGTTTAACCCCGCAGAAAAAGATCGACAAACGCGGCCGGAAGCTCGTGGACTTCGACAGCCAGAGACACAACTTCCAGTCGCTCCAGTGCAATCCGAAGAAGCGCGATGAGCTGAAGGTGTCGCGAGGCAAAGAACTCCTGGAGGAAGCCAAACGCACGTACGATCAACTCAACTCGGAACTCCACGACGAGCTGCCGGCATTGTACGACTCGCGCGTTCTATTTCTCGTCACCAATCTGCAGACGCTATTCGCGGCCGAGCAAGTTTTCCATACCGAAAGTGCCAAGGTACGTTCATCGAATATTATCTGCGCGCCCATATGCTCATTTTGGACGAGGAGGACCTGGAGGAGGCGATTTATTTAGGCTGAAGGAGAGGGACATGGGTGCACGCCATTGGTTGAGTTTTCGCGATGATCCGACAAGCGAATCGAACATGGACATGGAATGATACAGCAGTCTTTAATTTATTACATAGAATGTCGAGTCTGGGCTGTATTAATCTCGCGAGTTTATACGGACATTTACGGTCTTAGATATTCGTTTTATAATTTTTTAATTCTAGAATTCTTTATGTAAGATTAAGTTAACTTCGTGTTCACCGTTGTGATTTTTCATTTTTTTCTTTTAAACTCATGCCACTGTCCGAATCGATATGATATTTTGAAATGTCGCAACTTTTCGACACGGTATTTACGTCTCGAGGAATCTGCGACTATCCTTCTCCAATGTACAATCGTATATTTATCTCAATAATGCTGATTAATTAATTGTATTTATGATGCTTTCCATATGTTTTATAAAACTATTTTATAATCATAAATTTATAATCCTTTGAAACCCGATGTTGCTTTATTCTTTCTATTTTCTAACTAAATATTTTTGTCCTAATTGAAATTTCTCACGTTACATTTTAATTTTTGTTCTCTCAATCTTCTTTTCCACGCTTACTTAAACCTCTTCTTAACTCTTATCACTAAACTTTTCTGTTCAATGTTTTGCAATCTTTTTTCAACCATCTTAAACTTCATTTTAACACTTTTCTAATTAATAATAAGTTGAAAGTAATATATATATATATATATATATATATATATATATATATATATATATATATATATATATATATTGATTTGACGGAAATTGTTATAATTTTTTTTACCATTAACGTATCAATATGAGCACTTAGTTTTTCAAATTTTTAAGATTCTAAGACAACTGTAATGCAAATGTAAATTGTAATATTTCTCATTTCAATTATAAAATATTCAGAATATATAAATTTATCAAATTTTTTCGTTTGCGTTCGTTTGTTTGTGCGCACGCGCGTCTGTAATTTAATATCAACATTTCTCAGAAACATAATAACGATAATAAAAATACATGAATTTTCAAATAACTAAAACTTTTCACTTTGAATATAACACATTGCAGACGATTTACTTAAATTCAATACGAAATTTAAGTCAGTTTTCATGACTTTGCTATCTATTAATATTACTGCTTATAAGTGCAACGAGAAGTCATTTTCAGATGATAAATCATCATTTCTCTTTCGATTGAAATTACAATTTTTACAAAAATATTGCAAACCAGATATTGTTCTTCCTACGATATTCTTTTTATCATACACGATTCTTTGAATCGTACCTCTGGGAGCCCGTAAATACATATTGCTTAAAAGTGGCTTTAGTTTTACCAGATACTTACATCGATAAATATGTAGATTTGCAGCTTTTTTAGGACGTGTTTTACATACAATAATCTGTACATAATACAATGTCATAAAATTTTGATTGCTTAAAATGTTTAAAAGACGTAGTTATTTCATGAAATGGAACAAGTTTAATTGATTATAATGTTCACAGGCGAAATTAATGTTCTCATTCTGTCTTTACAGGTTTTTTCGGAGCTCGAGGCGATAGTCGACAAATTGGCAAATGAAAGTCAACGAGGGTCATATACATTGAAAAAGAATTCGGCGCCTCAGTCACCTAAATCACCAAATGCGAACTCTTCGTAAGTATTATTTATTATTACGTCTCTTAATATCACAGAACTAAATATTCACTTCTGCTTTACTTGTAATTTATTAGTGCATAAATAAAAGAAAAAAAAATTTTTGTCAATGAAAAATACTTATAAAAATTATGAATGCACACACACACGCGCACGCACGCATATATATATATATATATATATATATATATATATATATACATGTCACATAAGTACAATCATCTAGACTAATTAGCCATAATTATCAAAAATATACTATCTACTATTTAATTTTTTTAATTTTTATAAGTATACGTTTTATAATTTAATAATCAGTTAACTTTCGATCATATTACAATTAAGCAATAAATTTGAGACTTAATTATTTTCAAGCGACCGAGCGTAATGCATTGTAGAACAAAATGTTGTCGATCATTGAAGGAAGGAGAGTAATTAGTCCTGTCTCATTAAAGTTTTATTCCATAATATTTGTTTATGACGTTAACGGTCTTTCTTCATTTTAGTCTCATCATCAATACGCAACCGCCTCAAAATAATATCTCAGCAGGTAATTAAAATTAATATTTTACGTTTCTTAATATTAACTTTGAGGATTTTAAAAGTAAAAAACTTTCTTTGTGATTTGTGTGCCTAACACGACTTTTCGTTTTTTATTAAGTGTCATTAAAAATATTTAAAAGAGAGATTAAAGCCTTTCGTCATCTTCTTCTTCTTCTTCGTCTTCTTCGTCTTGTTCTTCTTCAATATAAAGTCGATCACACGCTCTGCCGGAGAAAACTGTCCTTAATCAATGCGTTCTTATAACATGCGAATAATAAAATCGATCAAAATACCGTTGTTTTAACTTGCATCGTATGCGATCACAAGCGGTTGCGAGCGGAGGCAAAAAAGGGCCGTTGGAGCCCATCACGGCATCGGCGGCACAGCTGTTGAGAGTGTGTGTGTTTTTTTTTTTTTTGTTGGTGTTTTCTTTTGCAGCCCTGGACGATTCCGCGCCAGCCTCGCACGAGGAGTCGACGATTGCGCCCATCGCCCAGCTCAACGGCAATGCTAACAACACAACAGCTAACAGCAATGATAATTCCTCGCTCAATAATCAGGAGTCCTCGTCCCCGAAAAGCACCAAGGCGCTCGCTAAACGCGGCGTCGAGGAGCTTTATGACATCCCGGCCGGTGAGTATGTCGCTGAACGTGGCCGAGAGCTCATTGCATTGGAAAGAAATTTTATATCATCGATTGCTTAAGGGACATTGCGGACGACTATTGCATTATATTATCGGGAGTTTATGATTTGTTCGCCCGGCAATGGTGTCTCGAGACTTCGCCTTTATCGGTCTCAATAATCACGTAGACCGACTGTTTAATAATCGTTCGACATCTCTGCTTCGTTGCCCCATTGTACAATACATAGTATTGTTTGCTCAAAGTGAGGCGACTTTTTGTTTTAGCTGAAGTAAATATTAAGCGGTAATAAGCAAAGCCTTTCGTGGATTGTCGTTAAATTATTATTTATTCATATGAATTCTATCGTCCTTATGTACTGAATGACTAATGAGAGGAAGGCAAGGAGTTAACTGATGCCTTACGTCGACTAAAGATTTGATACAAAAATTAATCGGCGTTTAGTTATTTAAATAATCATTCGATGTAACAATAATTTTTATTATCCTGTCGATATTTTACAAATTATTTGCAAATTTATTGCAAATAGTGTTTTTCGCTTATGTATACGACAATTATTAAGCTTTTCTTTCGAGAAAGGTATGACAAATTATTTATACGACATTATTGTATGAATCATAATTAATGTAGCAATAAATACAATAAATTAAAATACTAATATAAATGGTAATGCAGTAACAAATATAACAATAGAATAAATCGAGATTCGGGCCACGATTTCAACTACGATACTTAGATTCTCCATGATATTACAATTATTATGCAATAATTAATGTATTAATTAATTGTTTAAGATAATGTCTTACGAATTTACGCCAATTAATATGGATTTTGACAAATATTTGAATATAATAAAAACAATTGGCTCCATTTATACTATACATTTATACTAATATAACTACTTTATACTATATATCCATCCAATACGAAGAGGATAGGTAACAATGACGTTATTATGACGTTAAATTAGTGCATTAAATTATTTTAATTTATCTTATCTTGTATCGAGAATTATGCTATTCACTTGTCAAATGAATGATAAAAAAAAAGTGCATCGATATTCGAACAATATACCGTAATATTTGAAGAAAAAGAGAGAAATCCAATGGAAAAAATTAGAATTAATGAGTAATCAAACTGTTCGTACGTAAAGGCATACAAAAAAATTCAGTTTAGTTACAAATATTTTTACAATAAAATACTTATAAATGATGTATTAAAATAATAATAATAATAATAATAATAATAATAATAATAATAATAATAATAATAATAATAATATTAATATTAATGATGACGATAACGCGTAATGTTATAAACATAAATCAGTGAATGTAAATACAATTAAAACAGCAATACGCTCCTTTATAATGTACCTTCGGAAGAACTTTATTATATTGATTAATAACTGCTTGTACCATTTAATAGCTACATTAACTTTCTTCTGGCTTGGTATTAATAAATGTTCGATCGATATTTAGCGAGAAATTGTAAAAACTGCCGAGGTGCCGATGAAAAATTACGTTTCATTCTGACGGAGCAAACCCCCTCGATTGTAACGTCTAATTGATTAATTACACTATTGATATCTAAATAAGTCGATTTCCGTTAAGGATAAAAATTGTTTCCAATGCAATGGCATCCAATTAGCCGCGGACTATTTATCGAAAAACAAATATATCGTTGAAGAAGAGCTTCTATGAACCTTCCTCTGAATGCCTTTTTTTTCTTCTTCTACTCACGCAATTTGCCTGCCAACCCGCACACGCATGCCTAAATGTTATTAATATAACAACAATTAAATGTACTCACGTAATTGACCAAAAGGACAATAAACATTCCTAATGGCGGCAAATTGAATCCTTCTAGACGTGGAATATGAAAATGGTATCCATTTATCTGCAGGGGCGACTACCGACAATTTGCCACCCGGCGTTTTGTACAGGGTGAGAGCCACTTATAAGTACAATCGAGAAGATGTGGACGAGCTGTCTTTCGAAGTCGGCGAAATTATTCGCGTCGTCGAATACGACGATCCAGAAGAACAGGTTTGCGCCATTTGACCATATTTTCAGAGACTGCGAGAGAGACAAATAAAAGATTAAAGATGTAGTTTTTATTCCCGAGATTTCAAGTTATTCAAATTATACGGTGAAAGGTTGTTTCCCCGTGGTAGGGAAAAAAAAAATTCGTCGTCGAGATAACACTTTCATAAGTTATGTCGTTTTTATGAACAAATGAATATCTTATAATTCTTTATTCTGAAATTTATTCTGAAACAGGAATATTAAATGTAGCTTGACTTGAAAGCGTAAAAATCGTTTTATAATAGACGTCGGAGTTTAAGATTTTTAAGCAATTTATATTCTCAGAGTCAAATTATTTTCAATATTGCGTTTCGTTAATGAAAGAAGGAAAGAAAGAAAGAAAGAAAGAAAGAAAAAAAAAACAAAGAACAGTGCGTTCAATCAATAATAAATCTGCGATACACGAAGATAGTTTTCAGTCATTTGCTAATAAATTACTTGCCAATCCTTACGCGTATGATTTGTTGTTAAATAAAAATTATTGAATCTTTTTAAATGTATTAAATATTCAATATTTTTTTGCCATTGTTTTTATCGTCCATTTGTGAATTTACAAATAGTTGTTGTGCGCACACTTGTATTGTATCGCCTTGTTAATTGTAAAAATTCATTTCACCCATCAAGTATAAAAATATATAACTCATCTACATTACCGACACAGCGTCGATTTTAAAAATTGTACATTCAACATCCAACATCATATACAATTTTGCCAATTCAAATTCATTAGAATCACTGATGTAAAAACGCGAGCTTTTTTTATTTGAAAATGTTCAATGTTTCACGAATTATCGTTGTTTTTTTTTTATTTGAAAATGTTCAATATTTCACGAATAAAACTCCTCGCTCTAGGACGCATTTGTTGCGTTCATTTAAAAATAAATTTTTTAATACTTTGCAGGAAGAAGGCTGGCTCATGGGCATAAAGGAGGGCACGAACGAGAAGGGCATGTTCCCTGCGAACTTCACGAAGCCGTTGTGAGTGCGCGGGCGCGTCAACCCCGGATTACCGGTGGAGAGAAGAACGCGGGGACCGAGAGAGGTGCACAAGGACGCGCGAGGACGAGCTCCAGCTCCTTGGTCGTAGATCACGCGACAATCCGGGCGCACGTCCTGACGCAGGAATTCGAGAGGACGACAGACGGGAATGCGATCGGTTACCAAGTGCCTTAAGCCAGCTAACGATGCCTGCGCCAATCCACGACATCGCGCTCTCCCCTCCCCACCCTTTTCCCCACCCCCTATCACTTTCTCTCGTACTCTTTGCTCTGTCTCTCACTCACTCACTCACTCATTCACTCACACTCTCTCTCTCTCTCTCACTTACTCATTTCGCGCGGTACCCTTTCGTCGCCGATGTATCTCCCTTCCCACCCACCTCCGCATTCACCGCCATCGAAAACGATACAACGTTGAAGCACTCGAGCAGCCCCCCCCCTCCCACCCTCTTCCCCGCCACGTGGCTCTAATTCTTCTTCTATGGCGACAAGGCTCCGAGAAAAAACACCTGGTCCAACGCGGGATATGACGACATATATTTCTTTAAATGTAACGCAGTGCCAATCGCTGACTTTCGCGCCCCCCGCAATGGACGGCCATTTTTCGGGCCTCTCTCCTCGATTATGCTAATAGTGTTTAAATATCGAGCGGGCCAAATCTCTCGCGCTGCCAATCAAATGATATATCTTGTTAGAATTTCAAGCATAATGTCTGCGCGCGACACACAACAAACACTCTATGCTTTTCCGAAATTAAGCTGCGGACAATATAATTACTATATGAAAGTCTATAATAATAAATTAATATAATTTTATGAATTTGTACATAGAAAACTACTTTGTAAATCGTAAGACTATATTTTATCCAAGCGAATCATCTGTCGGTGTCCGAAGAATTATAAATATTCTTATGCTCGCTCTCTCACTCTCTCTCTCTCTCTCTCTCTCTCTCTCTCTCTCTCTCTCTCTCTGTGGGTGTGTTTTCTTCTTTCTCTTCCACTCTCACTCTCTATCTCTATATCTATGTCTATATCTACATCTATATCTATATCTATCTCTGTCTGATTCTCAATCTCATTCGTCAATCGACGATTGAAGAATCGCCGCGGGAAACTTTTACGAGGTACTTCGATACCGCCCTGTGCATCTAACGATTCATCAAATCAATGAGGTCCGAGCATCCACCGTAGGCGAAGAGGTTCAAGGGCAGCGAGCGAGCGATTAACATTTGGACGATAGCTTAAAGTGCTGCTCTACCATTTCGCGTCCCGAGCTTTTTCTCGCATACTCAACGAAATAACGCGTCCCCCTTTTAATAAGGGTAACAATAATCAACGTGGCGGATAGGAAAAATGAAATTTCATTTATTATATGATAATGCATGGTTGCGAATGAGATGATGTTTACAAAATTTTATACCTTTCGCTATGAAAATTGTTTTAATTATCGTAATTTTGATTTTGTGTGCGTGTGCGTTCGCGTGCCTGTATGTTTCTACGGAATATGTAGAAAGTGTGTGTAGTAAGGCAGCTGCTAATCATTGAACAATAATGCATCGAAGCAAATGAATTGACTAAAATCATTTTGTCCTTAAAAATTTACATTATTATAATAAGAATATTCATATTAATAATAATACTTTATGAAACTCTTGAGTATTGTATCAAACCCTTTGTAATAAAGATTACGAGAATATAATGAGAGTAAAGAATTAAGCGAGTCAGTGAACGTCATTTCGGAGGGGGGTTCGCACGTATGTTTTTATTCCATCATAAGATTTAAGAAACGGCAGATCATTAGTCAAGATGGATTGTTCTTTTATACAAATTTTCAAATGTTTAAGTTGAAAGATCGACCCATCGTTACGCCTACTTAAGGATCTAGAAAATCGAATGAGCCTAAGCTCGTTGAATATCTTTCATGTCCATTAACCCGTTTCAGCGTTCTATTTGAAAGACCGAGGGGGACAAAAACTGAAATGATAACGTTAAAGGATATCGACGGCCGAAATACAAAACCGTTTTTTATTACGAACGAACTTTTATGAGACTTTATAAATCTATACACACACACACACACACACACACACACACACACACACACATATATATATATATATACATACACACAATTTTTGTAAAGTATTCAAAAGTATTAAAAATTAAAAAAATTGGAGATAAAAATACGATATTCAATAAACATTGGCTCGATCGAAGAAAAAAAACACTGACGTGTGATCCGTAAACATAGGCTTTTTACCTGCACTTATTAATCTACTTAGCAAAGTAAAACAAAAACTAAAAAATAAGAGATTTATTGTAAACAAATAAAAGAGACATCTGTGTAACTATGGAATCGATCGTTGTTATATCGTTTGTCATATTTATGTCGTGTTGTCTAATTTTACTGTAGCCATACCTGCAAATCTATAACCTTAGAGATAATTATAATAAGTATAATTAAAGTACAATAAACTAGCATGTGTCTGCTATGCGACTATTTTTATTTAATTGTGTTCATGGTCATCATCCTCAAAGCACAAATTTTATTTATCCTCATAAAATTGTATACATAATCAGCAAATTAAGTGAAACCCTTGTGAATGCAAAAATTATGCCAACGGCTTCATGTAGTCGAACCATATACATATATATTTATGTTTATGTGTGTGTGTGTGGGTGGGTGGGTGCGTGCGTGCTTGTGTGTGTGTTTAATAGTAGTAGTAGTAGTAATAGCGAAGTAGAATAATTTTGAAATAACCATTTGCTCGATTATGATTATAAAATGATAGATTCAATTCAATTAGAATTACAATTTATGAAAGTAAAAATACAATCTAAGGACTCTTATCTATACCAAGTATTAAACTTGTGTTGAAAAATTAATTTTTACTGGTTTTTCTTTTAATATAAAGAAAATAAAGGGGAAAATAGGGTAATGCACAATAATCTTTGTCAAAATTAAATATGAATCATTGATTTTTTGTTTACTTTAATTTAAAAAATTAATGACAAAAGTTCTAATACATACCGTAATAATTTTATAAAATATATTATACATTTTTTTTCGTTTCTTAAATAATGATGAACCGTTATTTAATGGATTTTTTTTTATTGAAAGTGTAAAAGTTACTTTTAAAAAAAATCTACTGAATAAATTGAATAGGTCGAATAAAGCTAATTTTTGCAGATAATAATAAGATGAAATATTTTTTTAGAATAATTGTACCTTTAAAATGTGACAGTCTATTTATTATATTAAATTAATAAATCTTCATAATAAACTTATGAAAATATCTTTTATTGTATGAAAGTTTATGATTTCTTTATATTATACATTGTAGTCGTACTTTGTTTTATAAAATGAAAAAGTCAAACCTTTAGAATATAAAATTGACTTGCAATTGACTTATACGCAAATATACATATATATATATATATGTATATTTGCGTATAAGTCAATTGAAAGTCAATTTTATATTCTAAGGGTTTGTATATATATATGTATATTTGCGTATAAGTCAATTGAAAGTCAATTTTATATTCTAAGGGTTTGTATATATATATATATATATATATATACATGTATATAAATCTATAGAAATATATAATATTATACATTGTTAAATATCAAGTTTTTATTTTTATAATTTCTGAAATATTATAAAACAATATTGTTTGGTATCATTTTGTCATTTAGATGTTTAATCCAATTTGTATAATGTAAATATGTAAATTACAAATTATGACACAAAGACCCGCAACAAAGATTTGTCGACAATAATTTTTTAATAATTCATTTTTAAAAATTATTTTGTTTACAAAACTTCTCGACTAAAAAAGCTGGATTATAAATACATACAGATTTGGTATTTTATGCATAGGTGCACATATAGTACGTATACTTAAATTTTTTTTAAGCTAATCGGAGATTTCGTTTGAAAAGTATATTATTGAAATGTTGAGAGCAAAAGTTTTCATGTAAAATCCACATTCACGTATTATTTAAATTATCTAACTAATAATTAATTTTTTTTCAATTTCAATATATATTCAATGATATTAAATTTGAAAATTTTTTGCCTTGGAAAAGCCTAATAAAATACTATTAATACTATAGCTGCATAATACCGTTAATTAAAAAACAAATACTCTTTAATACATAATCAATAGGATTATTCGTAAGACTAATACTTCTTTAGACAAAATATTTCCGTTCTTTTTTTATATTTTATAATACCTGATTATTTTGTTAATGTTTACTTTACAATCTTAAGTAATTTGATTTCAATGTTTATTTTATTAGAAAAATTATTTAAATGCGTTAATTTAAAATCTTATCCGTTTGTGGTAATGTTTTTGATATCATAAAAATAATAATGAAAGTTATAAAGGAAACTATATTATATTATTATCTTACATTAATAGTTTAAAATGAAAAGCAATAAAAGACGCATAAATATTAACAAATATAATACAAAATAATATAATATATAATATGTTAAAAGAAAAAAATTATACTTAATGATAATATTTTTAAAGATTAATTTTAATTATACTTTCGCAAATGAATATATTTAATATTAAATCAAATATTTCTAGTGCACGATATATTGTTAACAAAATGAAATCAATTTTTATTCAACATTTTGATTTATTCGATTCGACAAATTCATTGATATTGAATATTGCAAAAATCTAACGGATTCATACTTGATATTTATTGTTGCGGAATAAATACTTAAATAATTGATTATTAATTTAATAAACTTATAACTATCTAACTTATAGAATTAATTTTTGCATCAATTATAATTATAATGTTTTAATTCTATCGCTTTTATCGAATCTTTAAATAAATAAAGACATTAAAATGATATATATATATATATATATATATATATATATATATGTAAATATCATTACTACATTAAAGTAGTATTGGATAAAAAAAAATACATATATATATGTATATTATGATAGTATGTGTAAAATCAAACAATTCTTAAATCGAATGAGACTAGTTCGATTAATGAGAACAAACATTGGATTTTAATAATAGAATTTAGTTTATAATTTATTGAATTAAAAGATGATCGAATGCTTATAATCGAATTAATGTTCTGCTCCATTTATAAATAGAACATATTTAGTTGCAAAGCTGCAAATCACAATTTATTTATTGAAGATAAATAAGATAAATATCATTTGTATAAATTTCTTTAGAGCAATATTATTTTTTGATAATATAATTTCTGCACGAATCTTGAAATTGGTTTAGTATGAATTTG